GAACAACTTGCGGACTTTTTTACAAAAGCCCACCCGGAACCCGCGTTTCGCAGGTTCTGCAACGCTCTGCGTATCTACAAACTTGGCGACTTCCTCAGTGATCGTGTCCCCTAGTTGGACAGTGCCTTTGGCGCTTCTGCCTTATGACACTATTTATGCCTTATGGCGTCGATCAGTATATGTCCCTCGTGTTCTACACATCGCATTTATATGCATCAGCTATTTTAGCACCACTTTGTATTCATGCCTTCATTTTCGCCCCTCGACCTTGTTGGGGCTTGCTTACTTCTATGTCTGCTCGTGCCGTGAAGTCGGCGGTCTCGTCTGGCCAACGGCGCCGCTCAAGGATCGGCCGTACGAGTGTCGTCATACTTTGAGTGAGTCTCTTCAAGGTGCACCCACACCTCCGTCCAACCTCCAACTTGCTATTCTTGGATTTTTACCCCCGCTCTTTGAGCCTCATTTGTACTTATGCTTCTGGCATATTTACATGGGTATTTACCTGCTCTTTGAGCCACACTATCTTATTTTTCGTTGCATCTATGCACATTCTGGTATTTACCATTTCTTTCTACTTGGGCATTTGTCCCGCTCTTTGAGCAAACTATGGACTTGTATGTCTACACTTCTTGTGTGCTCCTCCATCACCTTCTCCACCACTGTTCTCAGGGTGGCTTGTGTAGCGACATGCCTTTTTGGCAATTTTGGCCTTAGCGAGTATATTGCCAGGTCCATTGCCTTTGGCACTGCTCCATCTTTGAGAACCTTCGTCTCGAAGGCCTTCAGCAGCCCGTTGCCCAGTGGGGTGGCTGTGAAGAAGGGGCACTTTGGCCTGTCTGCTTTGGCCTCTTTGGCACATCCGGATTGTAACCGGATTTTGTGCCCTCTGGGCAGATTTTTGGTTCTGACGGCACAAAACACCGGATAAGGATATTATCCGGTGTTCCCTTTGGTTGGCTGTAAGTAGTCGGATAATCCTCACATTCAGTTTTGCCCCCGACCACACAAGTGTTCTTTGTGTTCCTCGTGCTCTCGCCCCTTTCCTCAGTGCTACCTCTTTCGTCGTTCTCTTAACACCTTGCAACTGGACAACGACTCCACACCCAATGACTGCAGTCAAGGGAGCCCATCATTCCAGGGAGCCTCCGAAGCGCGTTTTTCTCGAGCAATTGCTGAGTCTCCTCAGCGCTCGGTCGACTCAAGTACTCAGCTTATCCACAGCACAACAAAACAACTGCAGCGTCTTTAGTATGGTGGACTTGCCCATGCGAAAGTTCTCATCCAGTGAGTCTGCTGCAGCACCGTATGCCATCATGCGCATCGCTACTGTGCATTTTTTAAGTGTGGAGAACCCGAGTATCCCTGCGGCATCACGTCCTTGTCGAAAGTACTCTGAATGGTGGGCCACATCTTGTGAAATCCGGAGAAACAGCTCGGGACTCATGCGGTATCGACGTCGAAATACCCCTAGTTGTAGAGTGGAATTGTATTGTGATACATGTATATTCCTTAATAAGAGTTACCATCATCATAGCTCCGGTTGTCGTCGAAGTAGTACTCCCAGAGCTGCTTGTCACCAATGCTGCGATGCCTGTCAACGTTCGTTTTGCGACCTGGGAGTGATCCTCGGTGAGCTTTGGCAGTCGGAAAGTATGTCCGCATATATTCATCGTCAGTGTCGGTGTCGTCTGACGATGACGACGAAGATGTCAGCTCCATACGGGACCTTTTCTGAAATAATTCTCATGGGTGGGGTAGTTGAGACTTATCCCTGGGACTCCAATAAATCTTGCTGTTATCCGTACATTATCCGAATATATCTCATTCGATAAATCTCACGGGTGGAGTTGCTCTAAAATGCAAGAGCAACTCCATTAGCAAACTCGGAATTTGACCAAATTCCTGAAATCTTCTTCGTTCGATTATGAAGCGGAAATTTGATTCGTAAATTTGAAATTCTACCTTTAGCAAAGCTGGAGTTTCAAGTTTCCGCACGACATGCATTACTAGAATTACTATCGTCGTTGATGTACTGACTCCACTTGATTTTTTACACCCACCAAGCAACCACCGTTGCGGCTCGACTGTCTCGAGGTGTTGCACGTGATTTTGTGTGAATGCATGGTATCAAGTTCAGACTAGTACAGTATACCGGTAAGCGTAGGCGTCAACGGAGCCGTCATCACAGCATGCTACGAATGTTTCGTGGCTGTTGTAAACAACCAAGCGCATAACGATAGAAAAACTGTAGCAGAAGTACAGGTCGCCTCAACCTATGAAGCTTCCAAATGTCCCTTCCCATAGACATCAGAGCATGTCCGCGGCATAGCATGCTGACGAGATTGAGCTTGTGAATGGCGCGGGCCTCCAAGGTCTATACGTATCGTAGTCGAGAATCACCATCGAACAAACCATGCGTGGCATCTCGGCTGTGAGTATTCTGCTCGAGTTCGTCGGTTATTGCCTGTCGATCCTGCTCCATCGGCAAGAACACACCAGCGACCGACAAAGCGTTCGCGCCGGTGTGCTCTTACCGACGGAACACACCACCACCACCATTGGCACCTGCTGCACGGCATGGAACGCGGTCCATCACAAGGAACTGGAAACCGTACAGCGCAGCCTTGAGTACCATCTTGACGTACCCACCCTTCCATGTCCCCAGCGCATTCGGCCCTACACCATCGAAGTGCCATCGGCAAAGTCTTCTTGCGATGTGCTCGCACCAGTTGTTGTGAAAACCAAGTATGAATGCGATAATTTGGAGGTGCAACTGTACGAGTTGACATCGATATTTCGTACGGTACTAGTATATTTGAGCCAAATTCCGAGCGGAATTTGACGTAAGCGAAGTTCGAAGGTGTGAGTAATCCGAAGTTTTATTTCAGGAATTTCAAATTCCGGGTTTGCTAAAGGTCTCCAACATCCTCCACCCGAATAAAAATACGCCGCATATATTGGAGATTCGGTATGTAACGACGTCACTCCAGTGGCGTCATAGGGTTATCGACCAATCAGAACAGACGTCACTGTTGACGTCAGTTTAGGACCAAGCTCGATTGGCGTGCGGCGTGCTCGGCCATGGACACCAGAAGTTCCTTCTGCAGAGCGCACGTATATATAGCATTAGATATAGTATAGTCACAGTAGTCAT